GCCAGGGGCATATGACTCCCTCTTGGTGAATTCCTTTCTTTGTACTAAGACCCATATTGAGAAATGAATTGTTTGTATTTGGGCCAATCTCCCAAGGCAAGAGAACAGAGCCAAATACAGAGACCCAAGTTAGTGTGCCCCTTGGTATCTGTCAGGCCAACGGGTTAAGCTGATTTGGAATGTTTTGTATGTCAGTGTTGTTTTTCATTTTACAGTTGATACATATGTTGAAAAACTAGGAAATTACTTTAGAAAAATAATTTTATTGTGCTTATGAGCAATAATGCAAAAAAAATAATGTCAGCCTCACCTTCACAGTGGTTTATTTAATGCTATCTTTTGAAATCATTGTATATTTATTCAATGACACTCCTTCATTAGTGAAGCTATTTTTAAACTCATTGTTCTTAATCCAATGAGCGTGTTTTAAATTAATTGAAATATTTCTCCAAGTTGCTTAGAAGCCAACAACTGCATTTAATGAATGAGATTCTAAAGGCTGCCTGAAATGACATCCTCGTGATGAGAAAACAGTGTTTGACAGCATGTAATTTTTTAGTCAATAAATTGAAAACCAAATTCAAGTTGATGATTTTAGAGTATAAGATATTTATTTGAAAATAGAAATTGACTCCAAAAATCTGAACTAATAAAGCTACATCATAGTAGAACTACATTTAAAATCGTATCTTTGTGAGTTTTTTTTCAGAAGAGTACAGAATTCTAAACACAAAAAGCCTATGACTTAATTTGTTGGGCTTTGCAGATGCTTTGTTAAACGAATGCTTACTGAAAAGCCAGTGATTTGACATTTATTTTGAAAAGGTGTATTGGAAGAAAGTAGTGAATCATAACATGAGCTTTAATTTTTGATGGGCTATCAAAGTAGGTATTTATTTCCATTCATGAAGTAGAAATGAAAATCAAAACGCAACAATTCAGGAAAAAATAATAAGGATTTTGCTTTGACCTTCAATGTGTTTTGAGTTCCCACTGGAGCTATTTTTCAGTAATTTTTGCATTTTTCAACTCTTGGCAGACTACCACTACCACAAAACAAGAGTTTTTCTAAATTAATTTAAACTGATATGCTACAAAAATTTTTACTTTGTAATTGCTTTATATTTTTAAAAATAATTTATTGAATTTATCTTATATGCAAAAACTTTTTTTCTAACAGTAAGGGAGCTGGCAAGTATTGCTAATATTAAGAAATTGAACTTGTCCCCTGGTATAAACTAGTCACATTACTACGTTTCAAAACACAGGAGATACCGTTAAGCGTTTAACAAAACCCACAATATGAGTGAGTCTGTATAATAATAAACTGAATCACAATATGGTGTTTCACTATAATCTGCTTGACCACAGAATACTGGTAGAGATTGACATCCACTGAAAATTAAGTAGCATTTTAAAAAAGTGAAAATGCTTGTTTTTATAGGGGTATTCCAACTTTAATCACATAAATGTGTAACTACGTGTATGTACCTGTGTGTAATATATGTATATATGTACATATATATGTATGTAATTACATACACATATATTACTTATTTTGGTCTTTGTCTAATTTCATCTCTGTTGTGACATTTTTCTAGTTGACCATTCTTTCCTTCTGGAATCTTTCTTTGCTTCTGCGATACTCTGGCAGCATTTAAAAAATTTTTTATTAGTTTGCTTTTAAAAATTTTTTCCTATTTCTCAATCTGTTTTACATGTTGTTTTCCCTACTCACATCTCCATCTTTTTCATGTTGATATTTCCCAGAATCCAGTTCTGATTTTCTTCTATTTCATGGATTCAATAGGAATCCACAAACAAAAACTCTCAGGTCTAGCTCTCCAACCCAGTTTCCTTGACTCAGCTCAAAACACACATCCAGCTGCCTACTGGGATGTCCCGCAGATGACTTTCTACGTCCCATTTAGAATTCATCTTTGTATCTTTATCTCCTATATCAGCCAATGGTATGATCATCCACTTCCATCCTGTATCCTCAAACCGGGGAATTTCCTGTATTCATGCCCCTGTGAAACTTTTTCTCCAATCAACCAGTACAAACACATGCAAAGAATTCCCAAGCTCTTTGGTCATACTTCCTTAATGTTTCTCAAATGCCTCTCCCACAACACCTCCTACCAATTTTTCTTTTTGCCTCCACTCTGATCCCGCTCTGATGTTCTTCTGTGCTCCTGGATATCTTATGTCTTTGCACATGTCACTCACGATACCTAAAAGTTCCTTCTAACCAACTCTTTACCTAATTCCTACTTCTTTAAAATTTGACCAAGGAATTTCCCCTTCTCATCTTCCATAACTTTCCCATTTTCACATCTTCCACTTCCTTCCTAGCCTGGGGGCTAGAGGTTAAGAGGAAAGCGACATAGAGGCTTGGATTTGGGTGAGCACCCAAGAACTGATGGTGGAAGAAAGCCATGAAGAAGCACAGAAACAGCCTGCCCTGGATGCTTCTGCAGGTGCAGGGCAGCCCAGAAAAGGCAATTAGAAAAGATGACTGGTATGGTAGGGAGTCTGGCTAGTATGAACCAATAAGTAATTGGTTGAACAAGTAAGTAAACAGATTCACGGTAATAAGATCCCAGTTTCTCACTGTTGGAGGACCTACTTATCAATATGAAAAATGGGAAGGCTAGAATGAACACTTGAGCGTCTGTATTGGAAGCAGAGATATAAACATGAACTAATTGGTGTTTAATAAGTATACATATACAGACAGAGATAAACTGTGTGTGTGTGTGTGTGTGTGTGTGTGTGTATTTCTTACCTCCATGTGATGGAAGGTCACAAAGGTAATGATATCCCAGTGACAGTGAGCACAACAAGCACTAGATCTTGGTTTGTAAATGTCACCCTCACTATAAGGAACCAGGGCTTCTTGGGGAAATATCTGGAGCATGAGAAGTATAGGGTAAGCCTGGAACACCCTATTTGATAAAGAAGTACTCAAAAAATGATGGAGATCTGCAAAAAAAAATACCCAGAAGTTACTTTAAAGGAGTCCCTGTAGCCAAATCTGGGACAATTTGAACATCACATTAACACTAATGATCATGAGAGCAAAATCCATTGAATAACACAGTAATCCATGAGTCTATACTTGTATTAATTCATTGATTGATTAATATCAAAATAAGGGAGAAGGGAAAGCTCATCCTTACAGTGGAATACCAGCTAATAAGTGTAGAATGATGGAACTAGAAAATCACCATTGGTCACTGTCATGGTGGTAGTTGACTGCAATGGAAGTTATCAGTGGAGATGAAGAGTAGGGTGGGTTGTGTCTGATGAGTAGCAAGACCTGAGGGTAATCTCAGAATATACTTCCACAAATACAAATCAATTGCCAAAGGGAAAATGATGACCTTTATAATGGAGGAAATTGGCAGATACCAACATGACCAGAAGATCAAGGTTAACATCACAGTTGCTGAGGAAGTTGACACTGTGTGCTTTTGATACAATGAAGTATGAAAATCAGGCATCAATCTGAGATTTTACAGCCATAAAAGCAGAGTCTGAGTCCTGTCATCAGGACACTTACAACAGACCCAGATTGAATATATGTCAAAATGTATGTCCTGTGTGCTTTAAAAGATCAAAAACATGAAAGAGAGAAAAAAAACTGAGGAACAGTTTTGACTAAAGTAAATTGAAGGGAAATAGCAGAAAAATATAATGAGTATTCCTAGGTGGGATTCTGGACCAGAAAGAAAAACAGAGACATTATTGAGTCAACTGGCAGCACTGAAAGGGGCATGTGAGTTGCACAGTGGTTTTAGACAAACATGGCTTTCCTGACTTGGATGGCTGCACAGTGATTAGGCAGGTGAGTGTCCTCATTTGGGGGAAACACTCACTGGAGTATTGAGGAGAGAAATACTATTGGAAACTTGCTCTCAAAGCATTCGGACTGGTTATAATAGGTATCTGTGTGTGTGTGTGTGTGTGTGAGAGAGAGAGAGAGAGAGAGAGAGAGAGAGAGAGAGAGAAATAGGAAGTTAACAGCTGAATCTGGGCAAGGGGGATAATTAAAGTGGTTTTTTCCACATTATACACAACCTTTCTCTCTATTCAAAAGTATTTCAAGATAGGAGAAAAAATAGTTAATACCTGTTTTAAAAATTCAACGAAGATACCAACTTCTCTTAGGAAACTTCCTGCCCTCTCTGCCAACAGACTCCCTCACAGCCTGATGCTCACCTACCTACTTGCCACAGTGTTTTAATACTTATCTGTGATACTAATGTATTAGGAGTGCCTTAGAAACAGTGACAAACACATAATAAATGCCCAATAACTGTTAGCTATTATTATGATTCTATCAAGCTGTGATCAAAAACAGAGATGTGGCGGTCCTAGTGACGTCCAACCACAGTGCAGTCTAGAAACTTCTAGGATTTCATTACAGTTTTCAAGGGCCTAGGAGAGTGAGGTGGCATGTATTCTCTAAGACTATAAGGGAAATAACTGGAAGGATTGTAAGGCCCAACATATATGCAGATGCAACATAAAAAAGAGAGTTCTTGGCAGGGAAACTAAAGAACCAATGATGTACAGTACTGGGATCTAAGGCACCTGCTGGAGGACAGGATTCCGGGTCACCGAGTCAAGGGGAGCTTGCCTGCTGCATGTATTTTATCAACTGCTTTGTTAAATGATGAACTAACGAGGCTGTCGCATGCATAATGATTTTATGTCAAAAACATCTGTTCTTCCTTTTTCATGCAGATTGAGCCTTTTTTTGTGAGTGTGGCACTTTATGACCTCAGAGACAGCAGGAAGATTTCTGCTGATTTTCACGTGGATCTAAATCATGCTGCTGTCAGACAGATGCTCTTGGGGGCGTCTGTGACTTTGGAAAATGGCAACATTGACACCATCACTCCAAGACAATCAGAAGAGCCTCACATCAAGGGACTTCCAGAGGAATGGCTAAAATTTCCAAAGCAGGTGGCACTTTTGTTTACTTGTGATGAGATGGAAAATACTTGTTCCGTTATTCTTACCAATAGGTCATATAAGATGGGCAATTTCCTGAATAAAAATTCCTGAATAACAATTCCCTTTAAAAAAAATGGAATTTTGTAAATGTGTACAATGTTTTTTCTTCCATGCTTATTAGCTGCTTTCTTTGTACATAGGCTGTATTTTCCGTAAGCAATCCACATTCTGAGATTGTTTTGGTGGCTAAAATTGAAAAAGTCTTGATGGGAAATATTGCAAGTGGTGCTGAACCTTATATTAAGAACCCAGACTCCAACAAGGTAATGCATAATCTTATAAATAACTTCGTTTTCTTTCCTTCTTTCTTTTTTTTTTTTTTTTTGAAATGGAGTTTCTCTCTGTCGCCAGGCTGGAGTGCAGTGGTGCGATCTCAGCTTACTGCAACCTCTGCCTCCTGGGTTCAAGGGATTCTCCTGCCACAGCCTCCCCAGTATCTGGGATTACAGGAGCACACCGCCACACCTGGCAAATTTGTTGTATTTTTTAGTAGAGATGGAGTTTCACCATGTTGTCCAGGCTGGTCTTGAACACCTGATTTCAAGTGATTGGTCTACCTTGGACTTCCAAAGTGCTGGGATTATAAGTGTGAGCCACTTTGCCTGGCCAACTTCATTTGCTTTTAAGAAACAAAGCCACACTCTTGCTGAGTTATCAAGTTTGTATGTCTTGAAATATTCACTTATTGGTGAAATGAATGTCCACCAGAAAAATTTTTAAGTATATTTTTTTGGTTTACATTCTTTTGACCCAGTAATTTCTGACTTCTGAGAATCTAATGGTAGAAATAAATCCAAATGTGGATAAAGCTTTCACTCAAAGGATCAGAGTATTAATAATAATGAAATGTTAGGAATCATCTGAGTAAAAGCAAGTGAATGAGACATCAGCAATGCTGATAATGAACAAAGTGAGATAAATAATTGTATATCAAATTATAATAACACTTAAATGAAAAAAGAAAGAGGAAAGAGAATGCTGTGCTTTGAATGGTGGAACTACAAGTAATATGTTTCTCCTTTCTTTTTTTCTATTATATTTTCTTTAATAATCAAATATTACTGTTTAATAGAAAATAAATATTAAAACTCTATATTTTCCATGCCAAAGAAATATATTGGGGAAATAACTTACAAGAATTTAATCTGAGCATGTATGACAATTTAGGGCAGAGTTTAACATATTTATGAGAATACCTTAATTCAGTGTTTGGCAAACTATGGTGCGCAGGCCAAATGCAGCCTACCACCTGTTTTTGTAAATAAGGTTTTATTGAAACACAGTCACATTCATTTATGGATTATCTATGCCAGCTTCCCTGCTACAGAAACAGAGTTGAAAACTTGTGACAGAGAATATATGGCCCATGAAACCCAATATATTTACTATATGGCACTTTATAGAACCAGTTTCCTGCCCTTTGTCCTAACAAATAAAAGGGGATATAGAATAAACTGTAAATATAAATTAGCTAATACTTACCATTGAAGATTTTAAAATCTCTTAAGTCAAAAAAAAGAGGAAAAAAAGTTGACATTCCAGGACATGGATATTTTCTACATTTGAAATTTCCAAGCTAAAAAGAAAGAAAGAAAAGTTTGAACACAGAGAACACCATTTGGTTCTTTGTAAGGTGAAATCCATGGGCCAGTAAGATAGAGGTATGCTGTTTCAGTATAAAACAATATGAAAAAGTATTTAGTATTATTTTATGTGTACAATTTGCAAAGTGCTCTTCTAAACAATATTTGTATTTATTTTTTCTTTAGTATGCACAAAAGATACTAAAATCCAACAGACAGTTCTGCAGCAAATTGGGAAAATACCGTATGCCTTTCGCTTGGGCAGTAAGGTAGGTTAACAGTTGCAACCAACAGATGAGAAATACATTTAATGTTAACATGTCTACACCTAGAAAAATACTAATATGGTCATCTTCATAAACATCTTGAGCTTCCCTGAAACATACATTTTACAAGACAGTTTAGCAATACAGTTTATAATAGAGGGCCATGGCACGTGTACCATGCATGCATGACCCGGTATGCAATGGGTTCTTGGTAGATATCAAATCAATGTCATAACTTGTTTATTATATATATTTGACTTAACAAACCTTTGACATTATGTCAGTCTTGAGAGTCCGGTGTGCCTAAAATTCAGATGGACGCACTATTTCTTATGCAGCTGCATGTTTTCATCCATGCATAGAGCTCAGGCCTATATATGGATGTCCAAATGAAACCATCAAACCAATCATTTAAACTCATCTTGATTTTGATACTGTTTAGCATAGCCAAATTTATCAGCACCAGTTGCCTCTCTGATAGAAAGGCTGAGTTCTGTGGACACGTCATTCACTTGGATGCATAACCAAATAATTGCGTTTCAGATCGGTTTAATCATCAATTATTAATGTCCTCCTCAATCTCTTTACATCTTTATTAGTATAAGAATTTCTTGAATGAGGAAGAGCCTGGCATAGACTCATAAGACTAAAAGGTCAGGAATGTACACAATCGAATGAACTAAGAAAAGTTAGAACTACAAAATAAGACAGGCTATCAAGCATTCATTCGAACTTTGGCAGCATTATCTCAATGTGTCCATCTTTAAAATCCAGAAGAAAGAGAGAACCTGTTGATTATGCCATTTTTAAGTCTTACAGTTCCCAGTGGTGTATATCCAGAGTAAACTTACTGCTATTTGTCATACTTTGGAGGTTGTTATTTAAAGTTGGAGATGAGCAGGTGCAGGAAGGAGAAATGTGGCAGTTTGGGCAGCAGTAAACCAAGATCGATTCATGCAGTCTCCAGGAATTAGCTTGCCCTGAAGCAGCATCATAGCAAGGGAGGGAGAGTCCAGGCCTAGGAGTCTGATAAACATGTAGATCAGGCCACTACTTACTGTGACTTGGAACAAGTTTCTACTCCAAGTCTCAGGGTCCCCAGCTATAAAATGAAGCTGACAATACCTGCCTTATGAGTAGCACGTGCAATCTCGAGCGCAGAAGCATTTGGCATAAAATACCTCGTGGATAGTACTTTATCCTCCCTTTTCTATCCCCTTCTGTAGGAGCAACTACTGCCAGGACATTCTGCTGAAAAAGATGGGATTTAGACATACAGAACCCTTTATAATGAATTTGTTTTTATTTCTCATAAGCTTCAAGAGAAAGGCTACTAGTTATAATTCACTGATTAAACATTTTTGATATTATTAAGCATTCTCAATTCCCTCCAGAAAACCTGCTGGGGCAAGTAAAGGCAAGATGTCTGTGACATATTCTGGTATAACAAAATTATAATAGTGCACACGTTTTTCACTTTAAGGATCCAACATTGCTCTGAGATTTTAGAAGCAGGTATTTTAGAGCCAGACAGAGCTGAGCTCAAAAATCCTAACTATGGCCAGGCATGGTGGTCCATGCCTATAATCCTAACACTTTAGAAGGCCAAGGCCTCCTGGAGGATTGCTGAAGGCCAGGAGTTCTAGACCAACCTGGGCAACACAATAAGACCCCATCTCTAAAAAACATTTACAAAATTAACGAAGAGTGGTAGCATACACCTGTAGTCCTAGCTACTCAGGAGGCTGAGATGGGAGTATCACATGTGCCCAGAAGCTGGAGATTACAGTGAACTACAATAGTACCACTGCACTCCAGCCTGGGCAACACAGTGAGACCATGTCTCTAAAAAAAGAAAAAAAAAAAACAAAAAACACTGTATCCTTTATTAGCCAAGTAAAGTTGGACAAGTTACTCACAACCTGCCTTTACCTATATTTTTAATATACAAAAGAAGAAATTAAGAATATCTAATTTACTGTTATAAGGACTGATGAGCACAGCTATGAACCCAATAAAAACTGTTATTTTTAGAAATCATTTTTCTAATATTATTATTACTAAAAGTCACTTACGGAGATCATATCTACTTCAACAAGTCCCCTTTTCCAATAAATTTGGGGCAATGAAGAACAATATCAAGGAGAGAAGTCAAAGAATTACCCATTATTGAAAGAACCTGAGAAGTTAGAAGTAACAATCCACTAGTGACAACTAGAAGTTGTCTAGTAAAACATGCTGGAAAAAAGACAGATGAAGCCTCTAGAGAGGCTGACAGTATTACAGACTATTGAAATCATTCATAGAATAGGAAAGCCAATGAAAGCACAAGCTTATACCATATTAATGCCCAATTACTGGTCTGGTTGTAGGCTAGGAAACACCACCAATCTGTATATATACATATGTGATTTACTTCCACATAAATTTCTCTGACAACTGAGAAAGATAGCAGTACAGTTCTAAAGATATCATGTCATACGACTTGGATTACCTAACCACAAAAAAAGTACAAAAGATCCAGCCGAAGCTTTTAATTTCTCTTTCACAATGTGGAAACTGCTTCAAATAAATGTGAACAAATCAGAGGAAGGCTGGTTGTTGCCCATGTCGTTGCCAGCTTCCTGATATTCTTCAATACCTAATTGATACTGCTGATTCTGCGGCTACTGCTCCTTCCTGTTACGCTTTCTAGATTGCAGTTTGTTTGGCAGTATAGCTTTCAGTGTACCCTAAGACATTTTGGCCCTTACAATCAACTGTCATTAAAAGAGTAGAATTGAAAATTTAGATTATGACCATATTTTTACCCACATCTAATCATCCCTCCCACTGCAGTACGCACAGATGCTCATCGCTGTGAACAACGCTTTTTCTGAAATTAATTTGGTGTTTCCATATTTGGCACCAGCTGCAGTGAAAAGGTTATCCTTGAGGGAGGAGTAGAGAACATACGCAGATGACTACACAGGGTATTTTGTACTCATTGATTCAGGAGAAAATTGACCCTTCCAAATGTGTCTGGCTTGTGAATGGGTCCCTTTCCATGCATATCATCCCCAGAATCATATGTGCCAACATCCATGCCAGGACTTTTTTGTGATTTCTTTAACAATCTCCTTTGATATTCTAAATAAACCAGCACTCAATGCTGAATTTTTTTAATTAAGTAAAATTAAAATAAACATTTTATTCTCA